CTTTGGATAACTCTGTGTCCAGAAGAGCCGATTTGATGCCAATCTTCTGGAGATCGTCGACGAGCTCTCCGTTTTGGTGTTTCTCCAGAAGTATATCACATCCGCCGACAAACTCTCCATTGATAAAGACTTGCGGTATTGTTGGCCACGAAGTGTAGTCTTTGATGCCTTTGCGGAGCTCTTCGGAGGACAGGACGTCGTGGGCGTCGTATTCAACGCCATGCATACGGAGGACCTGATGGTTGGGAACAACAATTAATCACATGATATAATAGATTCAATTGCGGTTAAAGTGGAGGTCAGTGAAGGCCCAAAATGATGATCACCTGAATAACAGCGTTACTGAAGCCACAGCGAGGCTGTTGTGGATCTCCTTTCATGAAGACAACCACTTTATTATTGGCCACCAATTTGTCAATTCTGTTGCGCATGTCTTCGGACGTCTCGGCGCTCAATGGCCTCAGATATAGCCGCGACGGCAATGCCATCGATGGCCTCACGAGTGTCTTGTATGCCAGCGATAGACCGCTTCTCAACGCCATTGTCTCCTCTGCTGAAGACAAACAATCAATGGATTAATCAAATGATTCACTCAATTAAACAATGAGTTAATTGTTATAAAAATTATCATTTAATACACAATTGGCGTTAAATTGTGGCAAAAAAAGTTCACTAAACACTTGTTTTGGTGTAAATAAATATAAGACAATTTAAAATGTGGTAATAAATGAAGACATGACCGCAAACTAACCAATGATTACAGTTATGATGCAATTGTACACATTTTTAACACAATTGTAGCCATAATTAAAAGTTTTAAATTTACAAATAAAAGTGAAACTCAACTCACATTTGGTTATCGCCGGCAAAATCGGGTGACAATTGAAATGAGTTTAATATTTGTCGATAAAAACAAATGAATGCCTTTTAAGGAGTGATTAAAACACGTGTTTATTGTCGTAATTAACGACAAATTATAATTGTAATGAGATTTAAGTGTAAATGTTTTGAATGAATGAATAACACGTTCAGTACAACAGCTGAGAGTACACTAAAGGGATAGCCTTTCAAATTGAAACTTTCAATGCAGACTGCAGTACACAATACACACTAATGCACAACAATTACATGGCGAGTGTAGAGGGGGAGGGAGTGTCTAAGTTAGTAGTGCTTTGTACAGCATAATAGGGCTAAACATTAATCACGTTTCACTAAACCAAACATTTTTAGTTTGAATGAAGTTTTTGGTGTTTTACAAGTTTGCACACAAAAGCATACATTCATTTGATATGCATTGACCAGTGATTAAAGTTTTGTGATAAAAGTTCAAAAGTCATGTTCAATACAACACAAAAATAGTGTTTATTAAATATGAGTCACATTTCATCACTTAATATAATGACATTTGTTTGCAATTAGAATAAACGCTACAAATGTTTGTAACAAAAGTTTGAAACAAAAACTTCATTCATTTCAACTCAAGAGTTGTTTTCATTTGAATGAAAAACTTTTCAAATGTAATACAAATTGGGGTAAAAATCACAATAAATTAGTTTTAAAATTCACACAAAATTTTCTACTCAATTATATTGTGACTATATTTTAATGAATTGTGTAATACTTTATCTCAAGAAATATTATTATATATTTAAATATTACTTAACAAACATTTAAATGTAGTTTTGTTTCTCATTTTTATGATTTAATAATAAACTAAAGAGTTATTTAAAAATATGTATTTTTTGAAACGATATTATCGGAGAATAAAATGCTTTTGATTTAATTAAAAGAGTTTCATGAGTTAATTGATATAAAAATTATCATTTAATTGTGGCAAAAAAGTTAATTAAACAATTGTTTTAATGTAAATAAATATAAGACAATTAAAAACGTGGTAATAAATGAAGACATGACCGCAAACTAACTAATGATACAGTTATGCAGTTTTACACATTTTTAACACACAATTGTAACCATAATTAAAACTTTTAATTTACAAATAAAAGTGAAACATAACTCACATTTGGTTATCGCCGGCAAAATCGGGTGACAATTGAAATGAGTTTAATATTTGTCAATAAAAGAAATGATTGGCTTTTAATGAGTGATTAAAACACGTGTTTATTGTTGTAATTAACAGCAAATTATAATTATAATGAGATTTAAGTGTAAATGTTTTGAATGAATGAATAACACGTTCAGCACAACAGCTAACAGTACACTACTGTTCACTATAGGGATAGCCTTTCAATGCATACACCGTTTTGAACGAAAAGCTGTTATAAAGTATTTTAAGGAATTTGAAACCCATTTTATGCACAGAATTGCAATTGTCATTCAAAATGTCGGTTAAAATGACAAAAATAAGGTAAAATATATTTAATTATAATTAAATTTAATCATTAAATTAATTATAATTTGATTTAATTAGCATTTGTATCGGTGGCGTTGCGATGGTTGCGATGGTAGGCCTCAGACATCGCTTTCACACTAATGGGACCAAATCTCAGTCCACTTCAGCGATGAACAGACAGTCAAACTTCGGTTTCGGTGGCCGTCAGTCGGGTATACGTCCGCCGCAGGGATACGGAGGCCAGCAGTCGGGCGGTGGCGGAGGGGGTGGCGGTCAGAGTCGGCCCAAAACGCAGTCCACGTCAAGCATGTCGTCCATCCCGTCGACCGCTTCGTCGCGCAAAACACTGCAAAACAACAATTTTTTCAATTTCCCCGGAAGTGGCGGCTCTTCGCGGCTCAGCAGTAACGCCAAGTCGGGCGCCGCCGGCGGACGGCATTCAGGGTTTGGCAGCCTTTGGGCCTCTTATCAGCCGCAGAGCTGTTCATTCGCCCAATTGTATCGTCGGTTGAGTATTGATGTCAGCCGTCGACACGTTAACCATCCGCGACGGCTTCGAGACGCCCATCAAATTCTCGAGAAGATGGCGTCCATTAAGAAGTTAGAAGAGCAGCGAAAGTGTCTGAAGAGTAGAGTCGAGGAACAGGAGTTCGGTATAGAAGAGGCAGTTCTGGCCAAAGAACGCAAACAACAGTTGGAGGACGAGATTAAGCAAGAGTTCGGTATCATTGACGACATCCGAAAGGGGATCCGTTCGACACGACTCGAGTGCTCCAAATACGAAGACGTGATAAAGAAAATACACTCAGAGCTCGTCTCCTTCATCGCCGCGATGGCAGATCTCGTCGACTCCCCCGTAATGGCCGGCTATAGCTCTACTCTTCGGCAACTGATCCAAAGTCCCGAATGGATGGAGATTTTGACGGCTCTTAAGAATATAAAGACCGGCGAAACGACTGGCGCTTCGGTCTCCGAATTGGAGAAACTTTTCTCGCATAAAGTCAACCAATTGATGACTGATATGGAAACCCAACGCAAAGTTAGTTTAAGTTTTGGTTTTAACACTAAATCTATGCTTTTCTCTCTTTTTGTTTATTATTTTTTCTCTTTATTAACATTTTTTAAGAATAGTTTTCTTATTCAGACTATTAACGAGTTATACATGGTTTACTCACTCTCTTATGATAACAATTTATACTAAATAAGATTTAATATTTATCTTTAAAATAAAAGTCCGATAAAAGGCAGATCTGATTTAGTTTCGCCACAATCAAAAATTGAAATATGATTATGGATTCTATATTACACAT